ACCATTTGTACAATTTTGAATCCCCACCACCTAGGAATGCTTCCAGTCTAATATGGTTGATATCCATCACTTAGTTCCAGAGAAGAAGTCGCTTTAAAGCAATATAGCCAAATAACCCTTTTTGGCCCCGCCCCTCAGCCCCCTGGGGGGTCAGCCACACCATTTGTACAATTTTGAATCCCTGCATCCCATGAATGCTTTTGATTAAATATGATTGATATCCAGTGCATAGTTCTACAGAAGAAGTCGTTTATAGCAATCTAGCCAAATTGCCCCCTTTTTGGCCCCGCCCATCAGCCCCCTGGGGGGTCAGCCCAACCATTTGTACAATTTTGAATCTCCACCACCTAGGGATGCTTCCAGGCAAATATGGTTGATATCCATCTCTTAGTTCCAGAGAAGAAGTCGCATAAAGCAATATAGCCAAATTGCCCCCTTTTTGCCCCGCCCCTCAGCCCCCTGGGGGGTCAGCCCCACCATTTGTACAATTTTGATTCCCTACCACCTAAGGATGCTTCCAGTCAAATTTAGTAAAATTCCAATCAGTGGTTAAGAAGAAGTCGTTTAAAGAAATTGTTGACGGACGACGGACGGACGGACGCCACGGTATGGCATAAGCTCACCTTGGTCCTTTGGACCAGGTGAGCTAACAAAGTGAAATATACATAGGCTTTTCAAGGTGATAACCATGAAATATTATATATATCACATTACCGAAGTAATTTATGACTGATCATATAAAGTGAGGAACTTACAGCATAGATATTTCCCAGAGTGAAGTGGTTGACGTTTCGTTCTTTGGAGATGTCGAGAGCTGCATGGACAACAATGGCTGCCTCGTTGGAATAGCGAGCTCGATGCAGAACGTTGGCTAAACTGATTAAGGCCACGTCCTTCTGTTGTCTGTTGGCCAAAAAACCCACAAATGTGCTTTAAGATGTATGCTACCTTACTGTGACCTGTTAAACTAATGAGGCCACATCCTTTTGGTGTACGTAAGTCACAAGATTATATGTGCTTAAAGACGTTGTCTACCTTACTGTGACTTTCTGAACTCATTAATACCACACCTTTCTCATGTGTGTAGGTCAATGTATCAAAAACAAATCTGCTTAAGGGTATATGCTTCCTTACTTTAATTTCCTTTTACGACAGTTCTGTAGACGAAAGGTAATTCTGACATGATATAAGACAATCCTAATTGATACCATTTTTTTAAAACAGAAAATTAAGAAAAGCTGAACAGATGAAGAGCAAGTTGAACACCCTACCATCTGATGATGGCTGGCTACTTAAGTAGGTCAAATTTCATTTGAATTTGTTCTCACCTGGGTGAGTAGTGTAGGGCCCGTCTAACACACTCTATCACCTGGTAGGGATCACCCTTTATCCTCCAATAAAATGCTGCCATATTATACAACACCCAGGATGTGTCATTCTGAAAAACAGATTTGAAAAAAGTTAAAAAAACAATGTCTTACATTATTTTCTTTTTTTAAAGGATAGAATTTTAATCTTTAGTTTAAACTTATTTCATTGCCATGCCATAGTGCATACAGTGAAGGGATTGGGCACGAGGGACAACATATTATATTATAAATATTATAGATGACCAATTCCTGTAATGAAAATAGAAATGATGAGCAATAACACCACTGAATCCCGTCCAAAATGTAATGTTTGATTTACATCCTACGTGCTGACATGTTTCGGCCGAAGGGAGGCTGTCTTCAGAGCACAGTTTCATATTCTAAGAATGAATACCGGTACATGTACTTATTTATCGTATTATTCAATTACAAATGAATACGTCTGGTTAAAATAATTAGGATCCAGGGGCTTTGTAAATAGTGATAATGAAAATTAGGGTAGAAGCATCGACCATACCTTGAGCAGGGCATGGTACACCCTACTACCGTACTGGTCTACATCGTCCTGGTAGGTGATGGCATTCTTTAGGCCAAGCTCAGGCGTCCCCGACAACAAGTCCCGCACCTTCATACCCTAGCAACCAAGTAAACAAAACGTCAGGTTTTGGTAACCATGCAAACAATAGGCAGCATTTACTTTCTATTTCTAAACATTTAAACAAAGCGTAGCTGAATCGAGTCATTTCGGTACATATTTAACAACTATTGTACATACGCTAAGCGTAGCCGTATCAACATCAATTTTGTGGACAACTCGTACACAATTTACACCTTTGTGTGCATACGCTTCATTGGTCATTTGTCTGATGAAGGTGACAGTGTACATATCATACTAGTCATAGAAACGTTACATAGAAAATCTTATTGATTGTGTAAAAAGAACTTTTCATAAAGTATTTACATTCTAATAAGATGTTGTTTTATATCTTAATCATTTATTCATCATTACACTAATTACTGGTACAATGTACCATGGTTATAGAATTGTTTTCATGCTTTCTATACATACATATATATCATAATAATACTAGATGTGTTTTCACCTGAAACAAGCTTTAGTCTAAAAATTGTAAATTTAGTTTGTCTATACATGCAATAAGCTGAAATGAAATTTTTGGTAATATTGGGGGTGAACATTGTATCTGTGAAAGAATAATCTGGTATTTATAACAGTTTGAAGTAGACTGTCTATTTGAGGTAGAACTGTATATTGTCAGATGTTGATATTGTAATAAATGGACAGTGTATACATCATTGTTCCCCCTTATTTTTTTTAGTACACAGGGTACATTATACCCCCAGGTAAGGAATTGTTGGGGTACAAACAGCAAGCTGCAAAGGGGGGTGCGGGGGTCCTCCCCTGGAATTTTTTGGAAATCTGGAAGCTCTGTGGTGCATTCTGGGGTATTTTGAGGCTAAAAAACAGCTTGGTACTTTGTCAAAAATAGTCCCTCTAAATCAGAAAAATATATGTAAATTGCACAGCTACATGACTGACATACAAAAAACAGCTTGGTACTTTGTCAAAATCAGAAATACATATTAAAATTGCACTGACATACACTTGTAAACTGTAACATTCTGCATGAATCGGAAACTAATTTTGTATAATTGCAAAATAACAAGGCATATTAATATGATACAAGCTTGATATTTGCCTTTTTATAGCTGGCATTTCAACGCAAACTTGTTTTATACATTTACTACAAGTTTTGTTTTATCAAGTGTAAATGCAAAATAATGATCATGACAAGGCATTTATTTCAGTGCAAACTTTTTTAAAGTCTCATACATCAGTTTAACTAGTATGATTTTGTTAGGCTCTAATTGTATTATTGACGGATATGACTTCTCATTTTATTATTGATGGATATGACTTATTGGGACAAAATAATTCACATAGACACTCATAATTACGGAAATTAGACACTAAAAAAGAACAACATTATATTTGAAGGGACATTAGTAGTTTGTATTGATTAATAAATAATAGAAACTGTCCAGAGTTTTGGTCCCGTACCATTCAAAATTGAACAGAGCGTCTGGTTGAACGAGATTATCCATGATAACGAAACATTATTCAGTGTTGGGAAATAACCACTGTTGACTCCTGGAACCACGGTCCTCTCTGATTGTCTTATATAAATTTGGAGTTCTAAATTTAGCACACAGAGATCATGGTCGGTCTGACTAGAGATTACATCAGACAGTATTAGCCAATAGACAAACTTCGGTATATAAAATTAACAAATGGCCATATCTCTTTATATAGACCCGAATTTAGAATGCGACACTCCTACTTCCCAAGATACATTAAAACTATAGCAAGCTTGGTCAACATAGGTGAAATAACATGGAAGTTATGCCGTGGAAAAACTTCGGTATTAAAAATAAACAAAGGGCCATAACTCTGTTTATAGTGGGAAACAAAACCTGATTTTAGTGGGAGAGATTCGGCCTTACCAAGATACATAAATATGGTAAGTTTGGTCAACGTAGGTGAAATAACATGGAACTTATGCTCCAGACAAACTTTGGTATCAAAATTGAACAAAGGGCCATAACTCTGTATATGGTGAAGCACGAGACCCAATTCCAGTCCACTGCACACCTTCTGTGGGTGATGCATGTATACTTCAAGTTTGATAAAGATATTTTAACAGTTTATTATTTCGGGCCGGACAAGAAATTACTGAAAATAATGCACTTATTTGACCTTTGACCTTGAGGTGAAGATCACAGTGACCTAATTCCAATGCACTGCACACATTCTGTGGGTGATGCATGCATACCTAAAGTTTCATCAAGATATCTTAAACGATTTCAAAGTGATGGCCCCGACAAGTTGAGACTAAAAGAACCAGAAGAAGAAGAAGAAGAACCAGTACTAATACAATATGTCTCCCTTCATTCGAATCATCACTGTTTAATATCACAATAAAGGATAATCTTACCTCCAAATGTTCGAAGGCGTGTATACTGTAGTCAAGCTCGGAGAATAGTGTACAGTCGGGTGGGGAATGTATACTGTGTAGAGGTTGATTCACGTCTATATGTTCCTCTGGTCTAAAAACACAAACAAGTCAGACATGGTTAACTGGTATCACTAGAAAACTTTATTAAGCCACTTTCAACATTTCCTGATATATCTTGCAGAAACTTTTTAATAGCGAATAACCTAAAAAAAGTGGAAATATTTTAATACATGTAGTAATGTTTTCAGATTATTCAGTAAATAAGAGAAGTTGAGAGGGGTGGGGGTGGGGGATTTCACAGGTAACCCTGATCCAGGGACTTTCCTTGTTAACATGTAAATGATGCCACATGGCAGTTTCCTTCCCAAGTTGTGATTGTTCTCCACAATTTAATGTTAACTTGAGAATTTTCTTTTCGAACACACATGCTTTTTATTGTACTTCATTTAAACCCCTGCATTCTATTAAAATGCAGTATATATACCTGATGCCTTTGTTCTCCAGCGGAAGTACCGTACTTATATAGAGGTCAAACTCTGGCAGTGGTTTACCCGCTTTTAAACAGTCTGCATCTGTTTTGTAAAACCTCTGCTCCAAACCCGTGTCCCTATCTTCGTTCTTGTCAATCTCATCTTTTCTTGTCAGTAACTCTTCCTTCAGACCTTCCAGCATCTCTGTCCTATCATCCTGTTTCATGAAGGCCACCAGGTCATAGGGTCGTCGCAGGTTAAACACAGTGTCAGCCTAAAGCAGGAGAAATTTGCAAAATTGATTATTTACCAAGGGTATATTAATACCTATCTAAATACTTTTCAGAATCTAAATTTGACTCAAATACAAGTGAAATATACTAGTAAGACAAATCTTTCCCGAGTTTAGGATTTACCAGACCCCTTAAACTTGGATACCTGGGCACATATCTGTTACATATTTTTTTTATGGACCAATGAAAATAATTGCTGCAGTGATTGGTAATGAATAACAATGTACCAGGTATCAAATAGCCTTTCCTTTCTAACTGGGACCCCCATGTCACCATGATCTGGTCTGTTGGACTCTCAATTTGGTGAAGAGAGCTTGAGGCAAACTCATACAAAACCATACCTATATACATGTACTACTTAATTTCTATCTGATATGCTACAATAATCTTTATTTTCTATAAGGAGGATTGAAACAATTAAAAAGCAGTAAAAATTTCAATATAATTACAAAACTTTAAAAAAAAGTTGCTTAAAACAAATTTGACAAAACACTATACATTTTTCAAACCATGAAATCCTGAATTGCTGTAGGATTTAGATTACTGACCTCTGTCCCTTCCTAAACAGCGAGAAATTATAAATTAATTGATCATACAAACTGTAATACAGCTACAGAATGTACATTGCTTTTTTTCTATGTTTTTACAACCAAAATAGGTAAAAAAGAAAATTTTCTCACAGCCCTTTACTATTTATCTTACACAAGTGTCTATGGGACAATTGCTACCACAATATTACCCTTCAACTTCACTGTGATATACGTACCTGTTTCTTACAGATTTATGTCCTACGGAACATTACTTAATGTACGTAGATATTCAGGTGCAGAAGTAGTCCGAATTATTCGACGTTTTTTTTACTTTTTCATATCGGTCTGTCGCCAATTAATCGATATGAAAAAAGTCGATAAAACATCAGAATAATTCGGACTAGTGCATAAGATGCACAACATTACCAGAATTTGCAGTATACACTGAATGTGAAATGCAAGGGATTTTTCTGGGTGAATTGGTAAAAGGCCATTGTCGATTGATGTTGATTTGGAAATCTAGATCTGTTATCCACGTATCGATCTGCATGCTCAGTGTATGTGTTAAGTGTCAATCAAAATACAAACATGCAACACTGGTTTACTACTTGTCCGCTCGTTATTCCTTTTTCAATAGCCAGTTTTCTGGTTTTCTTTTGATCATTTCTTTACAAAATAATATCCGGATTGGTGGGTCACGCAGGTGATTGGGAAATTTTAAAGATATTGTTGGGGAAATATTGCACTAATAATTTTTCTGTTCAGCATTGGGATTTTACCAGGACTCAAATTCTTGGCCCAGAAAAAAAGCCCTGATTTGGATGTGTTAAATGTGTTACTGATGTCAAATTAACCAGAAATATTTAACTCATTCGCTTTATGGACACATTAGTAGTCGCACAAGCGTGAACCAACTATATACTCTGCCTTGTTTTTGAATTATCTCCCCTTACTATAATATCACCCCTATCCGAAATATTAGTACTTTGCCTCTGTCTTATATGATATGAGCTATCGACACTGATCGTTAAAGTATTTTCCCTGAATCGTTTATGCTTTCTCAAATGTCAGTATGCTGAAAATATTGAATTTTTGAGGATCTTTCAGATTTCTGCAAATTTGAACAGGTGCTCGTCCAAAGTCTTCATGTCAACTGTAGATTCAGAATCGTGGTACATGTATTGCATCTCTAAACAGCGCCAACACACATTGAGGCATACATGCAGCTATGTTGATAACAGGTATAGGGGAGTAATACAGGTGTCACAGTTTGAGAGGCAATAGGTCTTCCTGTGATATCGATTTGTGTGGACAGTCGAGCGAGTGCACCTTGACACTAGAATAGGCAAATTAAAACTATGGCGGTATTTATCCGTGAGAACGCATACAGTCACATCAGACAAGAATACCCGTTAGATTTATACCTGAGCTCGCACTAGGCCTTCCTCAGTGACAACCCAGTGCGACGACCCGCCAGCTATCGGAAAGTGGTGGGCCACAAGTAACACCACAACCAAAACAGTCGCCGCCATCTTGTGAATCTAATGAATATTCATGACCGAATGCGACTTCCGCACCAAGGCTACAACAAACGAGCTGACACTACGTGTCAAAATTAGCGAGTTTATCGATCGTTTGATAACCGATAAAACAGTGACGTCCATCGCCTGATGCACGATGTTTTAATTTAATACAGACTGCACCTGTTAAATAAACTATAGACATGGATATTACATTCACGCCGGCATTTTAAATCTAGATAGATTTAATTACTGTGCTCTGAAACTTCCGGGTCCTGAAACTTCCAGGTACTGACACTTTGATACCGTATTAGAAACATTATACGTCTTGTCTTATTAAGACCTATAAGGTATAGGAGAAATATCGGTATAATAACATGTATCCTAAAGGTGAAAAGGATGATGTTTGTTCAAATGTGTGACCTTGACCTACGTTGTAGGTTACAGGTCAAATATTGTAAATAGACTATAAGGTCTAGATTTATGATATTTGTCTTATAACTTTCTCAAGTGGATCAAAGACTAAAAAACATGTTAAAAACAGACCTCAAGCCGGGGAATTAATGATATTTCGACTCAACCACTCTGCATGTCTTGGCAAGCAAGATTGGGATTCCCACAATTAGAAGGGTTGTTGAGTATATATATATATATAGTTTAGATAATAATGCATAGCTACTTTTCATCAGAGATTGGCTTCAAAGTTTTCAACACATAGATAATATTTCACGTGATATATCGTTAATAGTAGTTATCAATAATGTTAATATGATAAAAATTATGAACAATTTTATAAGAAACAGTTCTGTATAGAAGCAACATGAACTATTGTAAAAAAATATTACAGCAAGATATCGACCTAAAACAATATTTTTATATATATACTACACTGCTTAATACTTTTTTGTAATTTTTGAATTTTGGGGTCAACTATAACTAGACAAGTTACAGAGGATCATGGGAATTCCTTATCGGTGTTGCACTTCTGGCGATAGTCTGGTGACATTCTGGTGATATGAAAAGTGTGCCAGAACATCACCAGAATGTCACCACTAGCGGCGATATCTGTGCACTTCTGGCGAACTGATTTGTGCGCTGCGATATCGCTGCAAACTTTCTATTTCTGAAAGAGCATTTCCCAGAGCCAATCCTGGTAGCATATGTGTATCGAAATCTTCATATTTTACATTTGTACATGTTAATAGAATTATGATCTCAACTGTATCAAGTTTTGACCCAAAAACTTACCTAAGTGCCTATAGCTAGGGATGTGGCCAAATATTGTTCATTTGCATAAGCTCAATACATATCAATGCATGGTGTATCAACTTCAGCCTTATTTTTTTGAAATCTTACCTCTCTTGGAAAACACAAGCGGTAAGTTTCTCCGGTGTATTTGTCAGATTTACACTGATGTGCCCCCGGGCTCTTTCTTAGGGCCACTGCTGTTCATTTTGAACATTAACGATTACCCCAACTGTTTGAAACATTCTGTAGCTATGATCGATTTATGCAGACGATAGTATGCAAATGTCAGAAGATATCTCAAACACAGCTAAATGGATGAAGGATAATAAATTGAACCTTAATTGATGATAGGGCCCTCTCTAGCTGCGATAACGTAGCTTTCTGACGACGAGAGATTTTTTTTTATATATTGCGTCCGGGGAAGAGGAGGCCGGGTATTAGTATCAGTACTAGGTCCTCTCAAGAGCTCGCAAGATGTCGGCAGCTGATTTTGAAAGTAATCGATCTCAAGATTGAAACTGTTAACTGTGCAAAACTACTAGGTGTTTTTATCGATATTTGTCTCTCTTGGAAAGAGCATATCGAGTATGTAACAAAGTAAATATAAAAAAGTGATGTGTTAAGAAGACTAAGGTCATTTATGTCGAACGTTGTCATCACGAAAGCGTACAGCAGTGTCATTTTTCCTCATTTCGTGTACTGTTCAACTGTCAGGAATGAACCTAGCAACCAATCATATATGGATTACAGAAATGAGCAGCTAGGATATTTTTTTTATGTTACGGACATTCTTACTCCCTCCAGGTCCCTTTATAAAAAATTTAAATGGATGCCAATAGCAGATATTTACGGTTTTAGAAGAATGGATATTCCTTAAAAAAAATCTACATTGTGAATCCCCAGGTACTTTAGCCAATATATTTTCCTATGTAAAAATTGTTAATAGAAGAACAACTATAGCTTATGTGTCAAACAGTATATGTTCCGACTGTCAGAACCAACTATCTTAAACGGTCGTTTGTATAACTATTATAGTGCAGTTAGATATCCAGGTATTGTCGGGGGGTTTAAAAGCAGATACCTGCAGCATTACTCTACAAAATCTTTATATACCGTCGTATTTTGTATATATACTACGGCTAGTCTTAATTTTTAACTTTAAAACATTTCTGTTATGATATTTATTCTATCGTATGAATAGCGTATCTTTGATTATCTCCCTTCTACATAGAAATGTATTGATATTATAATATATAGTTTCCTAAATCTTGTTTCTAGTAATTATAAAAGGCAAATGTCATTTGATAATTTTCTATTATAAATTACATTTTTACACCACCGACTTCTTGTCTCATTTTAATACACACTTTAGAAATGTATATCCCGTCATTTTTTTTACACTTTGCTATATTAGCAATTCATTTAGTAACATTTGTGTGATATGCAAGCGTTCATTATTAACTTATATTTTAGGATTATTAAATTTAAGTTACATTGACTGTGATGACTCCATATACTGCATCGTTATACTTTATCTTAAATTGCTGTCATGCTTGTGTATATATATGTTGATGCAGGGCTATATTGTAAACTAGACATTGTCTAAATATGTAACCCTGGGTGAAAAAAAGATATTATTATCATTTGGCCCAGCCCCTCAGCCCCGGAGGTCAGCCTTTCAATTTGTACAAATGTGAATCCCAATTACATGAGGACATTTCTTACCAAATATTTCTGATATTCATCTCAAGATTTAAGAGAAGTCACTAAAACAATATTAATACAATATTAAAACAATACTAAAACACCCCATAAAAATGCTTCCAACCAAACATGACTGATATCCATCAATCTCATAGGTCTAAAAGAGAAGTCGTTTACAGCAATACGGTCAAATTACCCATTCATGGACCCGCCCCTCAGCCCCACCATTCGTACAATTGTTAATTCCCACCACATAGAGATGTTTCCAGTCAAATTTGGTTCATTTCCAATCAGCGGTTCAGAAGATGTCATTTGAAGAAATTGTTATTGGACAGACAGACAGACGTGTAAAGCGCGGGAGGTCACCCATCCAACTACTGACCACGTTCGACGTTGCTGAACTAGTAAGCGGGTCCCCGGGTTATACCGCATCACTGAAAAGCTAGCTTGCTAGTAAGGCAGTATTTTCTCCTCATGTTCTTTAGCTGTTACACTATTCCCCTCTTCGAGAGGTCTCTCCAGAGTCTTGGCATGTGGAATCCCGTAGACTCTCCCTTACATGATCACACAGTATCCCACCGCTGCCACCAAATGTAATGTGGGCGGTCACCCATCCAACTACTGAAAATTAACCTTTACAAGAAGTGGAAAAGGAGAAGGATATAGGAGTAATTATAGACAGATTTTTCACATTTGAAATTCAAATAAGTACACAAGTAAAGAAAGCAAACTCTATGTTGCAGTCATTAGACGATTTTTTTCATTTTCTAAACAAACCCATTTTTCACTGTTATACAAAACGTTAGTAAGCGTTCATCTTGAATATGCAGCTACTGTATGACATCGCTCCAACTTCTAGCATATCGATGTAGTTGGAGCGGTACAAAGGAGGCAACGAAACAGATACCTGGATTTCGGGATTTATCATACCCGGATCGACTGAGGCAACTCAAATGACCCACTCTGGAGTTACAGAAGAATAAAAGGAGACATGATTTAGGTGTTTAAAATAACAAGGCATTGGGAGAACCTGGAACTCCTTTATAATTATAGATCTGAGATACGTGAAGGATCCAAGTAACGTCACATTCATCTATTGTTCAATATTTCAATGCAATGATTTTGAGTCCGGTGAAGAGGATCTTTATAGATCCTGTATCGGTAAATAAACTTAACATAAAATGTTGTATAAATATTGCCTGGTCATTGCTGATGTCCTCAGTCATGGCCATCCATTGTTTATTTCAACCCCTTCTCAGTGATCACAGGATGGGATTCAAAAGTGGTGATAAATCACTGCCCGTCTGCGGTGAGTATCCAGCAGTGTTCTTCATCCACACCTAACGCAATGCTCTTTGCTGTTGCATGTGCCATTTTTCCTACTGCTGTTCAGCTGCATTGTCCTGCTTTTCCCAATGCAGAGAACATCCATAACACACACTATGCAGGAAAGCCTCTATTGGGTAGCTTCATGTTTGTCATCTTCTACCTGGGCAGATTGGTAGAGTGGTTAAACACTTCAGCCTTCCATCCAGGCAGCTGGGGTTCGATCCTGAAGTCGTTGTACGCATGGAATATTTAGAGAAAGTGTTTTTCTCCTGCCCACACAACTCCAACAACCCAGGTGGAGTATAAAATGGTCTGGGGTGGATGTTGCGGTATCTGTGCTGTAGCATTCAAGAGAGGTGGCACTACATGTATAAAAGATGTCGTTGGAAGGGAAATTCCCTACAGCCGAGGCTTGTAAGGCAACCTAATCAATGCACATCTTTTACACTATTCCCCACTTTTTTCAAACATCAAACTAGGTTCTTTGACTCCCTGCCAAGGGTTCTCATACCTTGAATAGGGAGGGTCAAAGGCACCAGTTTGCAGTAGGATGAGGAATAGTGATCAAGACAGTGCCTTCGCTGGGGTTCGAACTCGCAACCCCAAGGCCCTCCAGCCCGATGCTCTACCGCTGAGCTATAGGGAAATTCCTAACAGCTGAGGCTTGTAAGGCAACCTAATTAATCCACATCTTATACAGAAGTCTTGTCACCTCTTTTGCCTGCAATTTCAC